ATGATAAGTTACGTCATTAAGTGTGAATATTGTTTTTGTACACAATTTTTGTATACATTATATAAAGTAAATTGAAATAAATAAATATCATAAAAAGAATAATATGTCTTCTGGTTATTACGAGTTCTAAGTTATACAAATTACACAAACAGCTTAAAAAAATTTTGAAGGAGTATGACAGTTATCATTAACATTTAATCGCCTACTTCACAACTTTTAGCGATTTGTACAGTTATTAAATTACATTTTTATGAACCAAGCTACTGGGAGGTGAGGGGAGAAATAGAGTCGTGGGTGGTGGGGTCGAGGGGGCATGAGAAAAGAAAAAAAAACTTATAAATTTATATCAATCAAGGTGAAGAGCTCAAAAAGGGGCTAAGGAGGCATTTTAATATGTATGTACATACATCCAAACTTATAATTTGTGGTTTTGTATGTTTTCTGACTATTTCCATATTATTTTGTCTATGGTCTGAAGGATTTTCCCATTTTATGTTTTCCAGCATAGAAAAGTTGGTCATTTCCCTACAAAATTTCGCCAAAAATACAGGAAAAATAGTTTTGTAAAAATCAAAAGTTGGCTTCATTTATTTATTCAATACTTACTAAAAGAAATTCTAGTTTTTTATTTAGTTTTTTGGTTATTTCTCTGCTTCTTACCCTTAAAGAACTTTTTCGAACACCAATCTCATTGTGATTAAAGTTTATGTAAAGTAGATACTTTTGAAAATCTATTATTTATTGTTGATAACACGTTAATGGCAAGAAAGTGCGAAAAAAAATTTTTTTATACCGAAAAACTTTCGATCAAGAAAAAAAAACTAGCTAATTTGAACCGAACCGTAAAAAAATATAGATATTAAGTTGTATAACAAATAGCTATTTGTAAAATTACACAATATTTGTCAGTTTTTTGTTGATGAATTTTTCAAACTAAAGCTGCGAAGTGTTATTACAAACTTCAGTGTCATCTTGTTAACTTTTTGCTTCGGTAAAAAAACTGTTTTTAATGTGAGCAATGAAAACATATAAAAAAAAATTGATTTTTGTTAATCTTGAATTTTTGCCACGAAAAATTTTATATTGCAACTTTAACAGTACAAAATATATCAGTTAATTTTGTATACTTTTTTTCCAATAAACGTCATTGCATTTGTTATAAAAAACATAAACTTTAGAAAGAAAAAATGCTATAGCTTACTCCGAAGCCGAGATACAAGAAATTGATGTTTTTATGCAATGACTCACTGATAATTAAATTTTTTATTGCCCAAATATTTGTGTATTATTTTCATGTCATTTGCATCACACTGCCGAAGCATTTTATTAATTTCATTGAACAAGAGTCTTTAAAAAATCAAGAAAGTTGCATTCTAACAGCTGGGGCAGCTCAGCACTTTCATCTGTACCTCTTTTTTGTGACTTGGTGACCAACCTGTTGCAGTGAGCATGGGTCAAAACATGTGCTACGGCTAGCGTTTGAGGTCAGTAAGTTGTTTTACATAATTGCACAGTTACAAACATAGTATTGAACATTGTACTTACTTACACATGTAAAAGGATAACCTTACTCACATATATTTACATGTACGTGTAACTTTTTTTAAAGTAATCATTCAATAACTAGTACACTTTATCTATTCTATCCATCACAATAGTGGTATTAATTTCTTGACTGTAGTTTCATGCATATACTTAGGACTTTTACGTTTCTTCGTAAGAAACAGTTTGATGAAGTCTTCATGATCTTACTAAAAAAAAAAGTCTTACTTGTGGCTCCCAAATGGTTATTTTCAATTCTAAATTATTTCTATGTTGTCCTATGTTAGGCAAGTATCAACTAAATTTTTAACATCATTTTGAACATTTGGCAACTATCAACTTTAATTTTTATACCGATGCTGTAGAAAATAATCCTCTTGTTTTATTTATTTAGATTAAGGTTACTGCTTTTTTTCTTTTAATGTTAAAATTAATGTACTTATTATTAACTTATAGTATGATAAATTTTTTTGTACGGTTGAGTACGTAGCTTCTAAAGTGTAAATTTCTGTAGGCTCTTTGAATTTTTCTGTTGAGTGTTTTAAAGGGCATGTACTTTGGACCATGAAGTTATCACATTAAATTGAATGTGAAAGGTGACAGTCATTGGTTTTATTCGCTACGTGCACAATTTTGAAGCAGCGCTACCGAGGGAAAAACGAGAACTATTGGTCGGGCACAGCAGAAGGCAATGTTCGCGATATGTGCTTGATACCTATAGGAACACAGCACCTCGATAGATACACAAAAGGTTCTGTGTTTATTATACCACAAATTAATACAATGTCTCAAGTGGTACAATACGTGAATAACTAAAGACAAAATTTGTACTACAAGCACTACACACGTTCATACGATACGCTTAGAGGATCAGGCCCCAGCTAAAAACTCTAAGAAATACACAGTATACAATGTATTTCATTGCGTTTTCAAAATGAACATGCATGAGTAAAATATGTACATACTACTCATAATTTTGTTAAAAATTTAACCCTTAGAATGGTTGTCGATGTATAAACACATAACTTTCTGATGATAGTAATGCTTAGTAGTCTGCTCGCAGAAAACAAACATATCGTTTAGTTTCACATATTAGCACAGGTATTGCTGCGATCGCTTTTTCAGCTTGTGCACGTAGCGAATATTTACCAGCCGCACATCCACAGTATTATGTTGTAGTTTTTTAATATTGAGTTTTCTTAAAGTCTTTCTATGAACACTTAGCGTCTACAGAATGTTTTTTTGCATATTTTTTGCTTCCATTTCTTGTGTATAACTTACTTGAGCCGTTCTATCATCACTTGTGTTTGTTTCCCTCTCTGAGAGTTGTATGACTAAGACTGTGTGTAAAGCCTTTTTAACTACTAAATCTTTTGTCTCACAACCTGCTTTTAATTCTTTTATAAACTCATTTGAACACTAACTAGTAGATTGTTGAAAATTTTTATAGTTACACGTAACACTGACATTTGTGAAAACATTGCAAATTCTTGAATCTTTTCATCTGCTTGCTCTTCCCTAAAACTTAATTTCAAATTTTTTAAAAATATTTAACGTTGTTGTCTCATACAATTTTTTTCAATTCTTTATTACCTTTTTTGTATAGATTTCTTGTGGCTTACTATTGCATTGATAATTAAATGCATTTTTTTCTGATTCACTGGTTAAAAACATAGTTGCCAGCATCTAGTGTCAGGATATTGAAAATTCCTTGGAGATGTTGTATTAAAACGTCCAAGTTAAATAGATTTCATTTTTTACAATTTTTATACTTTTGCAGCTGTGGATTCAATGCTACTATAGTTTCCAATGGTGTATTTTTTTTTTTTTTTTTTTTTTTTTAATTGAAAGGAGGATGTAGAATAAGTCTGGTACTACTACTGGTAGGTTGTCAATTTTTCTGTAATAAATAGAAAGATATTCTAGTTGCCCATTCCTTGCATTTGTATAGTTGTATAATTTACGACTAAAAGTAACATACTATAATAACTATATTTATTTTTTAATAAAAGAAATAAACAAGTACTTAGTTCTCTCGTGTAATCTTTGAGCAGTCTGACTCAATTAGAAAATTGCAAGCGACTGACCGTACATCTAATTTTAATCAGACATTTTATGTCATTCTTTTACCATCTCACAATCATACTTAGAACTCATCACGGGTATCTACATCTATAGCAACACCGATCTAACTAGTCTATGTATACGCATCCATCGCTTCTAATTGTAAATTAATTGTTTTGTACTAGTTTCCGAGGTAAGTAAATTTCTTTTGCCTAAACAAATAATGTCAAGTACTATACATATTTAAACATTAAACTATAAGAGTTTTCTATTACGTTTTAAGCTAACACATAATCGTTGCTTAAGATCTTACAATGTAAATAGTTTAAAAACATGATTACAACAAGTAGCATAAAACGTAACTAACAACATCACAGACAAAAACACCATTTCCCAAAGATGTATGTTTTAAAATATTTCTCAGTAACTTTTATTCTATAGATAAAATGCACTTATTATATTTTCGTCAAAAATGCGTCAGAAAATTTTAAAGTTCCATGGATAAGACTATGTTTGATCACGTATTCTGATATGCAAGGCAACAGAAGTAGGTTGCCTTTCTTGTTGATGCAAGATTTCTTCACTTAGCTAAAAAAATAATACAATACTAATAGTCAACATGCATTTGGTTAGGTTTTCTACAACGGCAGGTAAATTTGTTAACTGGCCAGAATAAAAACAAGTTAGCAAGCTTTATTATAGAAAAAATCAATGGAAAGACACTTTCGTACGAAGACAGACGATATAAACAAAGCAAAAGCTGTGATACTTTTACCCATAACGTACCCATGATAATACTGGCACGATAAGTAATTGTGATCAAGTCAATAATGCGAAGTGTCACCTATTTTAATCTTTTCATGATGTTAGATCATTTTTTTTCAGTTCATGTAGAGAGTGAAAGATTAATTCCTTTTTTTACTTTTATTTTCTATGTCCTATAAAATGAATCTATAAGTTTCCCCGTACTCAGAGCTGTTAATTACAATCATTTCCTTTTATATTTTCTCAACAGCAATCAACAATGAAAAGTTACAGTGAAAAAACGTTTTTTGTTGACAACACTTTATGAATTACATTTGGTTAAATATTTTTACTATTTTACTTTCCAATTATTAAAGGACTTGTCATTAGTAATACTCTCACTCAATCAATTTTTTAATGGAGACTACTTGCTTTCTTTGAACATTTTAAGCCCTTATTTTGTTTTAATTTTCGTCTTTTTATTTTCTTTTCCTTCGAAAGCTGCAAATCTTATATTGAAAAATAGTGTATGAATTTTTCAGCTGTTAACAAATGCAATACTTAAAAAACTTCATTAGTAAGTTATTTATGTGGAGCAGAAAATCAAAATAAATTTCATAAAATTATAATGTGAATTTAATGTTTGACAGGGAAGACTACTTGACGAGCCAAAGTTTTCGGACCCTGGAGGAGAAAGACAACTATTATGCAGAGTTAAAGACTGCGGCAGAGACGGGCTGGGATTTTTCAAGTCGATGGTTTATTCTCAATGGCACAAACAAAGGTTGTAAAAAAATATGGGGGTGGGAATAAGGAAAGAGTAAGAGTAAACGATAAAAACAAAAATAGATAAAGCCTCATCTTTAGTTTATTATACTTGGATTATAAGCTTAATGTAATATCAGAAATCTACATTACTGTCCCAGCCTTAATATAAAATATATTGTTGAAGTATAACAGTATAATAAACAAATCTTTCAGTAGATAACATTCATCATTACGTATTTAATAACAAAATACATAACATGAAAGGTGTTCAGTAAATTAGCAAAAATCTTGACTCCACTAACTACTGAATGCACATAAATATTTAGAAATAGAATTTTATTTGAATGCCCATAGTTAAATTTAATTGAAAGCTCATAAAAATTAGAAAGAGTATGGTAAGATTAGTAAAATGCCTTGACTGTTGCTCAAACAAAAAGGAATACCAGCTGTTGCGGATCCAAATTATGTAGATACTTGATTTTTTTTCTCTAAAAACACTGAAAATATTTTGGTGATAACATTTTTAGTGTTGACGCAAAAAAACCTTTCCTATACTTTAGGTGGAATTAAATCAATAGATGAATTTTAATAACTCATAGTGTCAAGATTGTATGAACTTATCACACCTCTGGATAGTAGGCCAAATCCACTGATTTCATGTCCATAACTTTTTCCCTAAAAAGTTAGTTATGTTTCTAATGCAGCAGACATCGATGATTTCAATTCCGATTGGAATTGAATTACCACCTATTTTCGTACATTAGAAATATGTTTCAATAAAAAACAAACGTATTTTATTTCGATATTCTGCCAATACTTGTACTTTCTCTCTTATTTGGAACTGATGGAGTTATCTGCCTGCTAAGCATGCAGCTAAGCAGGGTGAAAAATAAGATTCTTTCCTGGTTGTGCATCTTGCATGCATTGAACCACTGCTGCTGCTGCTGCTTAAAGACAATTTTAGTAATGCAGTTGTCTCCCGTTATTACAATGTCCATAGATGCTACACCGAATAAAAATACGTTTGCTGTCCTGGTTTTCAGGGTAGCATGCTGTCTTGCAGGCATACTGATCCTGTGGCAACATTTCAAAGATAACATTCAAAGGTAAACAATAGATTTGTTTAACCTTTCCAAGTGCATCTATACTGTAATATGGGCGCTTTGGTAGATTTTCTTACCCCATTCATCTACATTATCATAGCGAATAGGGAGGCTTTATATGCGCAACAGAGAACATATATATGTACTAAAAAAAAATTAGAAGCAGCAGAACTTATAAGTGTACCATATCAGCAAACGTTTTATTTCTGTACAGTAGACGATAATATAAAAGAATATCTCAGTTTCTGTGCAGCTTAATATATGTAATTACCCATATATTACTATCAAATATTGGTTTTTGCTTTTAGTTACTTTGTTTGAGAGTTAATTTCAAATGTCACCGTATTAAGTCAAGAGGTTTAAGTGTAAATAAAAAAAGTATAAATAAGCAGCCCTATCAAATGATGCAATACAGCAAGAAAATAAAACAGACTTTTAGTACAAGAAAAATCTTAAAAACTGAACTCACATATCTTTATTGCCCTTAATTTCAGACAAAACTATTCGTTTAATTTCTTTAGTATTAGCATTTGCTATGACTGTTAATAAATCTTTAGCTATAGTTTGAGAATTATGGCTTGTATCTATAAGATCAAAACTTTCTCAGAGTCAATAACATGTTGTATTATCAAAAAATGAAGATTAAAATATTTTTGTTTTCCGTAATTAATTTATTTTAATAGTTTTCATAAAAATTTATACNACACTACTATTATTCTTAAATAAAATAAGAAAGTCGTTGAAATTATTTTTTCAGTCCAGATCCAGCAGGGCCCCAGACAATTTGACTTATTTTGGTTACGGTTAAATAAACAATATTTTCACAATTAAATAGAGGTTCGTTTATTCCGGCTTTTGAAATTTTTTCCTTTTTCGTAGAATAACCCATGTATACTATAATGTAGCTGTCAAACGTATATGGGCTAAGTGAGAAAGTAATGTCAATTTAAACATCTAAGATATGTAACCATGCACACTGATAAAAACAAAAAAATTGCTGTTGTCATGTCATTGTATATGAACCTTGCAAATAGCATAAATTTGCATGACAATTAGCTAACACCGCGGTGACATGTAGCGTCAAAAACTATACTAGTGTATGCTAAAAAACGAGTAAAAAGCTATTTGTAACGTACACAACTTCTTTTTACTTACAGAATCTCATTTTTGATTGGAAAGCGATGAAATGTTCGGTCTGGCGTTTTCATGGTGCTGTTGCCACACCCCCTGTACGAACAACTCACTCTCGGCATTTTGACGATGTTTTTTTTTCATCTGATCAGTAATTGATGATTTTCGACATCAAATAATACATTTTTAATAGTAAAAAATAACTGTTGGCGATTTTTTTTTTACACTAAAAGTAATTAAGAAGATGATTGTGATGCATCTGATACTCTGAGATCAAAGTCCTTAATCTCGTTAATCCTGATTATCATTCAGGTTATGACTTTAAAAACAAATGCAATTATGCATATATATCATNGATTGTGATGCATCTGATACTCTAAGATAAAAGTCCTTAATCTCGTTAATCCTGATTATCATCCAGGTTATGACTTTAAAAACAAATGCAATTATGCATATATATCATATAACAAGCAGTCTGCTATCTACAAATGTATATAGATGCGCAGGCTATATTTAAAATAGTTTGACATAAAAATGTTGTGTAATCCTAATAAAAGATTACAAAAGAAGAAAAACAAATTTGTTTCATCGCAAAAAAAAGTTTTTATTTAATCGAATTTACACCAGTTTTGATCTACAACGCTATACAATATATATATTATACTATAATTTACATGCACATAAATATAATACGTAACATTTTGCATCCATACGTGAAATAATCATCATTATTGTTTTGGCAAATCAAGTGTGGTAATAAAAAATTGAAGACGTTCAAAAGGAGCTTTTTTGACATTTTAGTTGGTCTACCTACTACGTCGATGCACATGGTAATAGATTCAGCTGATCTGTAACACATGGTAACTGTTTCCTACAGCACCGACCCACATGGTAACGACATTTTCTGCTTCGGTACACTACCCCCAACGCTAACGCCACCTGCCTTGTGGGGTACCTAACTAAATTTATGTGCCTTAAAAGTTGGAAACAAGAAAAGGCCTGTCCTGGCCTTCTATACTTAAAGAGATATATTCTATATTCTCTGCTAATGGACAAGCAACTTACGTTGAACTCCATCCCGAATCACCAAGATTAATGAGTGCCATCAATAAAATGGCGTTCCAATTGCTAACGTCTCCAGCGTATTACCAGGAGACGTCTAGCCAGAGCATAATCTGCTCTAGCAATTTGGGATTTCATGGCCGTTCTTCAAACCGACCTGGTGCCACTAGAGCAGATTTTGCTATAACAGCAAGCCAGAGAAAACAACCCTTACGAAGTTCAGGCCGCCGCAACGGCCTTCTTATCCTTAGTGGTTTGTCCCAACGGTATACCCACAAAAAAGGTATTCTCCAAGCCTAGTTTCCCGACTAACGATGAGTGGTTTGTGCTCTGGAGAACGACCCAAGGACAAATTATTATTTGGCCAGTGGTGCGGCGTACTTCCGTCCAGCAAGATCACCGTACCCAGAGACTCTGAGGGTAAGAGTCAAGATAATTGCAGTCAGCCCTCTGTCATCAAGAATAATAATAAGGAATAGCTGGGAATTTCACCCCTGGCCCTCTGAGGGCCTTTATAAGTACTAACGTTCCCTAATTAACCATAAATCTCATCGGTTCTTTTTAGGGCCATCTACCTTACCAAAAAACACATTTTTACTACCATTTCTGGCAATGACTCGTCGACTAAACGTTTATGTAAAGCTGGGCACTATTAAATCGAGTCAGTCATTTACTGGTGGACGTCAGAAAAGGAGTTGTTCATCGCAAGGAACTCCAGCCACCGACGACTCTGCATTACTCTCTTGACTCCAAGCATTTAACCAGGAATCACCAATCCTCTCTGAGGCCTGTGCTGGGTGAACCTTAAAACTACAAAGGAAGAATTAACTTAAGCAAACGGGACAGTCCCCAACAGGCAAACATCATAAACCAATCTCAGGCAAGGAATCATCAAAGCAAGCGGGAGCAACCTCTAAAATGACCGCATAGTGACCACGCAATTGTTAATTCCAGTTGTTTTTTAAGTTTTCAAGGTTGCTGAACATGAATCCAGTGTTATTATTCCTGAAAAGACAGAGCGTCCATGTTGAAAGTCGTCTTTAAGTAAAAAATTGCGATAACGGACTTTATTGCTTTTTCACATTTAAGTCGCTGTTAGTCCAGCAATTTTTAATATTTCTTTAAAAAATTTTTTTTACTCATTTTGGAGGGCATTAACTTCATGAAAAATTATGTTAATAGTGTGTACAAAGTTTATCAATCATGCACCGAATTTTCAAAGTAAAGTTGCTAGATATCTCGAACTTTGACGTATTTTCGCAAAAGTTGATGAGAAAAACTTGAAGATCATACAAATAACAATTTTATATTAAAGTTTCATACATATATAAGTTTTCTCCAAAGTTTTGCCTTTTATCCTGCGTATGAAAAAGAAAATGCATATGTGAACTTCACAACGTGTATGGGCAGACATGCTCAACGTGCGTTGTTTAGTCTGGCAAGTGTATGAACAAGCTTGTGTATTTTTTTTAACGAAACTTTGATAAAATTNCTAAAATAAGTCAATTAGGTTTTTTTAATACAATTAATTTTAACATTACTTTCTCGATATTACATATTTTAAAAAAAAAAGTTCTATAGACTGCGCACCCGATATAGTCGAGCGATTCTTGGTGCTCATACTCGTTTGCTTGCAAATTTGAATCATGTGTCACGCCAATGGTAACTCTATTACTTGTCTAGAGGGTTGCTGTCGCCTCTCTGCTTGGAGTTGTACTAT